AGGACGTGGCTCTTGGGGGGAGGGGTAAATCCTTTGCACAGGCGAGAGGATGGCACTTGGTTGAGACTAGGTATCCGCAGGGTTTGATACATGGAAAAAGCATCGCGCACAAAGTTAGTGGCAGCTGAAGTGAAACAAAAAAGTGTCGCACTATTATTTTAAGTATAAATAGTCTTTAGAGATCATAAAGGAATCAGCCTGCTTGAGGCGCCTTGAGAATATTTAGACTACGAGCTGTTTTGAAAGGCAGCTTACGATGAGGCTCGCAACACCACAATTCCTTTATATCTTTCAGAAACTGTCCCATGATCGTCAACGAAAAAGTGTTTCTGTGGAAAGAAAATAGGCTTAGCAAAGGGGAGGAAGGTAACACTAACATTAGATTTTATGCAGATCTATTTTTGTGTATTTGCTTTCCCCCTGATAATGCTGGGCCAACCAAACCGTCGTTGCTTCATGACTACTAAGTTGGTACCCATCTCGCCCGTTGAGACAAAAACCTCGCTTTTACATCTGCTAGGCTCAAAATACAAAGTTATGCTGAGGTAGGTGAGCTTTCTGGAAATGTTGTTTGCTAGGATGAAAAGTTTGCAACGTCAGTTCACCGCACCTGGTTGCCTTTCATCGGTGAGCATATTATTATAGTTCTCGCTAGAGATAAGAAAACAGCGGAATAAAATGTCATATGTAGCGAGTGAAACGACACCACATAGATCACGGTGATATAAGGGCCCACAGGTAATGTGGTCATCCAGCCGGTAATAAGACCCGAGAGAGGAACTCTCACAGCAATGACGTCCAAAACGAAGAACATAGCATTCTATAAGTTCAAACACTTGTGAAACGTAGAAATCTATTATGGAATGTGCCGATATCTAGTTTTGTCCATCTCGGAGCATCGAAATTCATGCTAACTGCAGACATACTGTCTTCTGCTTACCATGATGCAGTCGTGGGTAAACAAGGCGAAAAACGGTGTTCTAAAGAATTTCTTGAATTCAGGATCGAATATAAGTAGAACAATTTTCAATGTCACAGCCAGACTAGGAATGCCATATAAAATATATATGATTAGAAAGTAGGCATGCTGAGTGAAGACAATTTTGAAGGAGTCGCGAATTGTATCATTTCCGTGGACACTTCCCGGCAGTATTAATTCCATGAGTGACCAGGAACAAGCTATTCGCACTGTGGCGTAGGAGAGCTTGTCGAAAGCCGATGACAAGTGACAGCTGGAATTATCAGTGGGGAAATAATCAGCGACAAGTGTTTGCAGATTTCGTGCGGGTAATATTTCGAGAGTGTATGAGTCTAGAATGAATATAGGTAGACTGCAAATTCTCTTAATGCGTCTTTCTACTATTCGAAATCCAGCCAAAATACTATGCTTCAGCTGATCATCTTCACTTGTCGGAGCATCTTTCGGGCAATTTGTGGATCATCACCTTTCAACAAAAAGATATCTTAGGCCGTGGTTATTATAGGCGGAATCCGGTGATGGCCGCTTCTTTCCAATCCAGTGTTAAGGTCTGGAACGGTTTCACACGTCAACAGCCCGACTGTCGCCGGCAATGTCCATGTCGCTAATCATACATTCTGAAGTCCACTACTGGAGAAAAACAAGCGAACACTTTTTGACAATAAGCCCGCCTTGCCCAAACATGCCCCTATCGATGCAAAAGTACTTTTAAATACCTCACCAGTCCTGATCAGCATCAGCCCAGCAATTGTTGCGCCAATGCCAGTCAGTTAGCTTACTTCCTTGGAACCTAACCCTTGATTTCAGAGAAGCCCAAATGAGTAAGTAAGTAGGCCTATGGACCACTACAACTGCTGTCTCCCAAAAATTCGGTTAGGTTCTGTGGTTCACCTTTAGCTTCTAAACGTTTTAACATAGCTTTCATTTTCAATTTTTTTGTGATAGCTGACTCAGAAAATCTTCTTTGTTTTATTGATTCACCAACCAAGGTACGTATGATACTTTTTGGGGTTACCATGATCAGGTTGCCATGTAGGGTTCTTGCCTTGGTATAGCTTGAATTAGTCGAGAGACCAGAATTTTTTTAAAGGCAAAATTCAGGATTAAATTGATGAGGTAATTCCACTCAAATGTGAAAGTAGGGGTAGGAAGTGGACCGCCAGTGGAGAAAAAAGAAAAAAAATCGTGAAATACACAGGAAATACGAGCCTTTTGCTCTACGCTGCGGAGAAGTTCAAAAGGCCGGCAGGGAGATGAGAGATAATGTGAGCGCGGAGAGCGCTAGAGAAGTACGAGTAGAGAGAGCATAGCAGATCAACATTAGCGACGCAGACAAGATATCGAGCGGTGGGCGGAGCGTGTCGCAACAGGTGGAGCGTGTCAAAGTTCTTAGCGCCTAGCGTCTAAGTAACGCTTTTCGAAGTAGGGAAGTGACGCGACCTCTACACTTGCGTACCTAGCGCTTCTAGCCACCGTAAAGGCTCATTAAGTGGGTCTGAGCCCGAACTTTGCCTTTAAAGCACACCGACATAACGGTATGGAATGAGAGTGAAGAAACGTCCGAGAAAATCGAAATTGTTCACGCAACCTTGGACCTTTTAGTACTTTCTGAGGCTTAGTCCCCAAAACTAATCTTCAAGGCGTAGCCCCTTCATTAGGCATTGCCTCAGTGCGACGATACTCTATATGCTCTAGGGGAATGATAAAATGTCAGGCATCTTTGTTTCATCTGCAGGACGAGATTTTACTCAAAATTAGGTCACTAGTAGATTTTTTATGCATTAAGTAAGGCCGGTGTTACTCTGTATAAAGGATTGCAACATTAGAATTGGCAATGTTTTGACTGCATTAGGCTCCTCGCATAGAAAGATCCTTCTCTAACGAAAGCAACTTGACATTATTTATAGCTGTTATTATGCTCATCACCAAAATACTGTTGACGGCATCCACTCAAATGTTCTGACCTTTCGCCGAACAGTAGTTTCGCAAACGCAGTGATTTCCCAGGTGCATTGCAGCACCTGGAGGAAGCACGCCGCGTGTCATATGAGGAAGTGGTTAAACGAGTCGTCATAAAATTTTCGATTATGCGGGGCGGTCAAAACCCTTTTGCCCAACAAGTTTTCTTCGATCAGATTTTACCTGATAGAAGTTTCGGAGAGAAGCTGTCTTTTTCGTTTGAATGTCTTGCGTCCGAAAAGGGCAGGGATGACTGACTGTAAGTCATGTCTGCACCTCTGACACCAGCGGGCTCCAATCTCCTGCCGAGGTTTAACCATGCCTTGCACAATTGCAAAGATTGGAAATTAACAGGTTCCCTGCTAAACACCTTCGCCACAATAAATGTCCAAAAACTCGCATAATAATCAACGCATAATAATCATGTGCCACCCAGAATGTGGTGCATGGAGCCATCGCCTGATTTCTGTGGTCATGCAGCACTGACCACCGAGTAGCGAAATACCTCGGCCCATGTATCTAGTTTGATTAAAAGAGATACGTAGGATCGGTAGTTAGGAAGTCTCGTGAAGTTGCTGATCTGATGAAGCGCAAGAATATTCAGTTTCCTATTCCTTCAGAACCGCGATGGAAAGTAAACCATAAGCCGCAAAATCTGTGTAAGGTGTCAAATTCTAGAATGGAGAATACATCAGGGAAAACAGGGGAGAAAACCATATGGCCTGACTCTAAAGGATCACGCCTCTGCTGCATATACAATCACTGATCGAATAATGTCGGTGAGCTATAGCCCTTTTTTCATGCTTTACATTGGCTGGCCCCCTTGGGATGGCATTACAAGGCTTCTTTATTTTCGGCAAGGCCTCAATCAACGCATTCAACACCCGACGTGCCCAGAAAACTCCGATGAACCTTAACAATTTCTATATGGGCGGTTTTTGAAATTAATGAAGTTTCAGCATTTGTGTGATAATTTGAAGAAGACTATTTTCTGAACTTCCAAATTCCCTTTTTGCACCTCACGAAGCACATTCAGAAGGGGTTACGGAATTCGATAGAAATTGTGCGCATTTGTTTAAAATTTCCATTGTGACGAACACAAATATACCCACAAAACCGTGAGGGAGGGAGTATCTAAATCCTGTTGAGAGGGGTATGGTAAAATTTTTGAAATTTGCCGGGCTCGACGGATTATTTTCTGGCTGCTCTCAGTATGCAGACCATGGGTCGCTTTGTGAATTTTTCACATTTTGACTCGGAATGAGTGAATCTTCCACTGACATTACTCGATCTTTTCTCTACATGGAAATTTAGTGCCTCCCATGGAGCTTCCATATATTCAAAGTCGGACAGTAAGCTTAGCTTCTTTTCATGGGCATTCGTTTGTTGCTTCGCGGTACTCAGTTCGCTATGAAGCAACAAATGCCTGACCGTAGTTATAAGCTCTTCGTCATCGACCGAGTCCTTGGACTAAAATTGGTGCTGCTGCGCACATTGAGGTTAACAGACGCTAGACTTAGAATAATGCTTAAATTTCCCTGGATCTAGCTTATTTGATACACGAATAGCATTTAGCAATTACTTCACACATCCGTTATGAGAAATCAATATTACATCGTTACGGATACCTGTACAAATTTGTCAACTACAGCATCACTTCTCGGCTACGCCCATTGCAACTTCTTTTCAATCCGCATATTACAACATTGTCGTTCAGCGGATTTTGTGATTTATTTTGGGATTTTTCGCGCATTTATGATGCCGAAATTGCAAAAGCCAGCCATTCAGCCAAAGCATATTTTATTGACGCTATTATAATACTTTTCTACACATCTAGCAATCATTGGGTAGCCAACTCTTTTTCTACAGTGCGTTTCAAAAGTATGTGCACACCCTCAAAATTCACGTTTGAAAGGGAACCATGAGGTTTCGTGCTATGAAATCCTTCTCAATCGATTTCTCGTAGTCGATAACCTATCAATGGAAGCAAAGCAGATAATATCGCCTCACTTTCGGAAAAAATTTTGGATGAAATTTTTTTCTTTGTTTCAAAAGTATGTGCACACTTGAAGAAGATCAGATTTTGGCGCCGAATTTTCCACCGATTTCAATCCGACTTTGCTGTTTTCATTTCGTCATCATGTCAATTCGCGCCATACTTCTTCCTGAAGATGAGCAAGCTCAGATCAAGGTTCTGCATGATAATGAACGTTCCAATCTAGAAATCGCACGATAACTTGGTCGTTCTCCTTAATGCATTCGAAGATTTATCTGGCACCCTGATAATTATACTCAGCACACACTCCGCTCCATCCACGATCCTTGACTGCTCAGAACAACAAAAGAGTAGCCCACATCCTGTCGGATTCTTCATTGACAGTCCGAGCTCAGATTTTTATTCCAGCCTCGAAAATGACCACTAAGCGCCTCATCCGCTTGAATGAATACACCACTCGACAGACGCTGAGAAAGGCTACTCACTTCAAGGCCCAGCACAAGTTAGCCACATTGGAGTCTGCTAGTACAGAATCATATCACATAGTATAGACACGTGGTGGCAAAGACACGTTCCTTTTCCAGCGCAATCCATATCTTATCAAAACAAGCAACTTTATGGCTTGTCTCGTTCAGCAATCTTAACACATGGGAAGTGAGTCGATGTTGACTGCTCCGGGCATCTGGTGTAGTTGTTACTTACTGGAGAGGCTTCGGCCGTGAGTCGCTTGTGCGTCGAGAAGAATTCGAAGAGGCTGTTCATGCTAGTCTGCGGCGGTTTATGAGCAATCAGGGAAATTTAGATAAGTCTCTGCTCTTCCATTAGGATGAACTTGAAGATAATACAAGCAGCTGCTTCAATGTCACCGATGATTGCCTCTTAACGAAGCGAGCCGAAAGACGAAGTTATTACGTTTATTTGTTAGCAACAGGACCACGTGTCTTTCGATGCTTCGCAATCTACCAAAGAATGGCCTTAACCAAATGGTGCTGAAGCGATAGATTGGCTTGTGTGTCCTCCTTACTGCAACCCTATAGGGAGCCCTTGATCAAGGCGTTAACTTTAGCAACGGCAGTATAATACCGCGGATGATGAACCTTGGATCGTTTCTTGTAAGGCGGCACGCGCCTCAAAAGGTTTGAGGAGCTGACTTCGTCCAGACCAAGCGACGAAACACGCTTATTGCCAAATCGTAGTTCACGATCATCTTGAGAAATTATCCCAAGATACTTATGCCGGACAGGATGTTTGAGCTAATTAGAAACTCTGGAGGCCCCACTGATTTCTAATCTCAGCTATGTTTTTGTCTTTTGTTAAGTGTGCACATACTTTTGAAACAAAGAAAAAAATTTCATCCAAAATTTTTTTTCGAAAGTGAAGCGATATTATCTGCTTTGCTTCCATTGATAGGTATATCGATTACGAGAAAATCGAGATTGAGACGGATTTCATAGCACGAAACCTCATAGGTTCCTCTTTCAAACGTGAATTAGGTGCAATACTTTGAAACGCACTGTAGAATCAGGTAATGCCCGAGTCTTTGACTTATCGAAGTTCATAGATCGTGATTTTCTATTCCACCCTCCTTTGAGATGAGTGAGTGGCATTCATTTCGAACAGAATTACTAAAATAGGCTGGCACTTGATCCACTCCCCCTTCCCGCTTTAATTTCTACATATCCTGCAAAGTGGTTAAATATCCCTTGGTATGAAAGGTACTTCGGGTCTAACTCTCGGTGCGCGGTGCTCTATTCATCAAAATCTAATGAGAAAATCGCCTTGTGGCGATTTCAAGTGAAAATTTGCTATCTTTTCCCCGCTATCTTCGCTTTACTGAGTGCTATTTACAAAAGGTTTGTCCATTTGTTTGCGAATGTCTAGAAGATATCAAACAATTCGTATTACCATTGATTACTGTTATTACTATTTAGTGACCACAATAATTATTAATTACTACTATTTTTGAAAGCTGTTCCCAAAATTCACGCTTTTAGGATTTGAGGATGGCGTCGGACGGAAATTCCTCCCCGGTACTTTATAGCGCTATCGTTGACTTGGTTCTTTGTTTATGGGCGGTGTCTGGTCCATTGCTTTCGGAAGTCATATCTTCTTATATACTTTTTGTTGCTTTAATGTTGAATACGGACATGAGGTGGAAATGAGGGTCTCTCTTTCTGGAGCGGTGGTCGCCCAGAAGACGTACCTCTATCGCCCCCTCCCTGAAGCGAGCTGAGTATACTCGGTCTTTTACTGCACGACCCTATCTAAAATTCAGAGTCCTCTCTTACTTTACAGACGACTCCTAAATTTAATTAATTACAGAACGAATTTTGTTCGTCAAATGATTTTTATTTCCTAAATTTTTCATTCGTCCGATTCTTTTTTGCGTCTTCTTTTCACGCTCACAGTTGCGTTACTTCAGCTGATGCCTCTGGCTCGAACGACGACATCAATTTTCTGGATTTCAAAGGGTACTCTGGGTCCGCAATTAATGCACAGAAGATCAATCCAGTCACTCGCGATTGCGATGTTCTTAATTCCCTGCTCGGTCATACAATAAATAGAGGTATCGATCAGATCGGCAAGATTTCAACTGTTGCAGCTGTGGCGCGATTTGTCCCTGGGTCAGATTTGCTGAATCCCGAAAAAAAACCGTCGAAATCTATATACACCCTCGATGAAAAGGTTCCATTCCTCCATTTCCCAACCTTTTGAACAGCACGCGGTAGGGTTAGATAGAGCTAGATTTGCTACTATCAGGCAGTATTGGAATTGCTATGAAAGCCTTCCATTCGAAGAGATATAGTCTCTCAAATCCGTCGAGGGAACGTCGAGGATGCTGAAATTTTCATGCGAGTTTTTGCCACTTAAAAGGCAATATCTCTCTAATTTCGCAAGATCTTGAAAAAGGAAGACAGTTTTGGAAAGCGGAAGGTTTGCGCTTTCTAACAGTATGTTTAGCTTCCTTCTACATTTCTAGTTGAGGAGATATTTGCGTCGAGGATCTATCGAGGATGATTCTCGGCCGCTCAAAAAGCCGCTCCCTTCTTCACCATTGCAAGTGCATTCGTTGGCAACGCTCGAAATGTGTCTAGAATACATTTTCAACATAAGCAATAAGAAAAGGGGCAATCGTCATCGTCCGATCTCGTCTCAGTATAGGCCATGCATCCGACCTCCACTCAAGTTGTAGAATCTATTGAAAGGTGTTATACATATGATGATGACCTGTTGACAGAAAGTGTAACACATTTCGTAACTCCTGTAACCTAAGGAACAGCTTCATTTGTCCAAGGCCTTCTAAAACTATTGTCGTTTTTGCTACAGCGTCCCTAACAACAGTGCTATTCTCAACGAGGTATTGTATTAAGGGCGAGGGAGCGGGCGGCATATAAAGGAGGTGCCTTTGTAGCGCGTGTGCACATGTGGCCCCGTTCCTTGCGGAGATGCACTTTCGCTCCTCGTACTGCTTCGGACACCAAATTAATCCTTTCCATGTCCTCCGTGTGTATTTATGCACCTGCGGCTGGTATAGGGCCTTGAAATCAGCTGGGTTAATTGCAGCATCAAGTGCTGCTACGGAGTCACCAATGGCTAGCAATCACGTAAAGTTGTTCTGACGAGCTTTCCTCTCTGCCCGCCCCTTTCGCTGATGTTGGAAGAGGGTCTAATTCCAGCCTTGTCGACAGATTCTTTTCTTTTTCTTCACTGTTGTTCCATTTCGCATCAGTGCTATGACATCGGCTTTACTAACCAAAGCAATCAAATTCGTTTATTACTGATGACGCTAATGGGCGAAAAGGATACGATTCTCGGTTTCAGAGCCGGATGTGTGAAATACAGAACCCATATAGGTAGAAACATCAATAAGTCCATTTGAAAAGGTCTTGCCGTCAGTGGTATATTAGCATTAGTGTAGATAACGAAATAAACCTGAAGCTAGAAAAAATGAAGGGGTAAAACCTTTCCTTCTTTAACTCGTATACACAAAGGCAAACCGCGGGATTAGATTTACTAGTGGGAAGGATGCCACGAGGGAAATTTCGGGATACGTACCTTCATAGATCGCCCCAGCTTCGTTGCCAAATTGCGCGATTAGGGCGCTAATCCATTACGGACCTGCAACCATCGAATCGCTGCAACGCTTCCCACCCACCGCTATCGATATAGAAGATCAGCGTCTCTCTCAAACGGCGTGCTCTCTCGCGTGTTTGTCTTCTTTGATCGCCCTCTCGCCATCGTACCACATCCCATTATACAGTAGGATAAGGCCTTAATTTTAGCGTTTCCATTGATTTCTCTCATTCTCCTTTCCAGGTTCAGTTCATTCCGCAGTTCAGTGATCACTACAAAGCGTTCATATGCACCAGTCTTATCCCAGGCTTGTCTTTCAAGGGCTATGAAATAGTAGCAAACGGCGAGAAATAAATGCAACGCGAAAAGAGCTCTTCATTATTTCCAATTGCGCAGCTCCTCAAGAAGGCACAAAAAAATATAGGGCTTCGGTGAGAGTAGTGCTTGTCCCATTGTGGAGGTCGGAGCTTCAGGTCTTCGAGTCGCTCGGACTTGCTTACTTCCCGTAGTAATCTTTGTGTTTCATTCACCATAGGATACGAACTCAACAATTGATTATTAACATAGAAGAAAACTGACATTTGTGAGAGCCAGGCTGATCATACAAATAGATGTCGTTAATACAAGTATTGTTAGAGACTTCTCGGCTTTAGCCATAGCAGTGCTTCGATTATTAGTTCTGGAACATTTCATTAATTAGAGCATAGCTGATAAATTACGACACGTGGCTTTCTTTGTATGTTAATTTTTGCTGTTTTATGGTAAATTGCTCCACTTGCATTACTTCACCACAACGATTGACTATTGACAAATTGACACTGTATTTGACTTGAGATTAAGTAGGCAGATAGCAATTCTTTCAACTACTTTCCAAATTTCTGGCCTCAAAAATATGCATCTCGGATCAGTGCAGTCTTGGGACCACTGCTATAAAGTTGATGACTGGAGAGGAGGTAGAATCAAATTATAGTTCATTAAAGATTCTTAAAAATCCTGACCTTCCAGAAACTTGGCGAATTTTGGCCAAAGTAACAGTGGTGGATAATAAAATGATCAACGAAGAAGCAGATGCGGATATCGCGGAGCACAAACTGTTTCGCCACTGCAAATTCATAATTATTTTTCTAATTCTGCAAGACCTAGCTTTCATGGAAACGGAACAGACAAGAAAGTAGAAAAACATCGGCAAATATTCAACATAAATATAAATAGACTTTCCAGAAGGACAATCATACCTGTGGGAAGACTTTTTTATAGTCAAAAGCTAGTCCGTATCCAGGAAGTCCTCCAACTCTCATATAAGCGACTACAGGATACAGAAACCAGGTTGTCGATATCGGCAGCAAGTAAATAGTAAGGACAAAAATAGGCAGGAGCTCCTTGAGCATCTTGAAATGATGTGGTCACCGAAGGTCTTTTGTTGTTTATGAGTAAACTCGCAACGCGACAACTCTACATCCTTTTTAATTCGTCATATGAACGTCGGGGACAAAAGTGTTCTTGCTGAAAGAATGCAGTATCTGCAAAGGGGATGCTATGGCATCTAATTGTGTGCAGATTTGTGCTCGTGCACGGCATGGCCCAAAAGTGCATGCTCCCCATTTCTCACCGATACCTGTGGAACTGGTTGTTCCTTTTCAAAGCCTGGCCGAATTCCTGTTAACCCTTTGACGACAATGGCACCCACCGGTGGGTGCCACTATGTTCGTCGCGTGGGACAATGGCACCCAATGGTGGGTGCCACCTTAAAATTTCCTACTTTGTGCATTTAAAACATTTGTAACACCCAATAATTAGCAAGTTCCATAATATCTATGGCTAGCACGACTTACAGAAATGTTTACTAAGAGCTAATTTATATAGAATTTTAATGTGCCATTTAGCTCGCCACCATATTAATTGGGGTTTTAAATTATTAGGCCGAAGATTAATTACTAATCAGGACTTCTTCGTCTTCTCATAGCCTTCAGATATGGGAAGGGTTTGAAGTGTACCGGAAATTCTCTTGGACACTAAACTTTTAAAGGTTTTGCCCTCCTTCCCTTTGAAACGCGAGTTCCCCGTCCAAATTTGGAATTCTCTTAAAAAAACAGTATGAAAGCCCAGAACTGCAGTTATAACAGGTATACTGTTAGAGTCAAAAATTCTAGAAAAACTGCTTTAAAGGACAATTTTCCTAATTTTGAGCGAGAGCTGGGCGCGCCAAAAACAGGCGTGGTCCCACGAGCAAGCTACGTGCAAATCCGCATTGTCACCAAAGGGTTAAGGAAGATCATTACATTAACCATAACTCTGCTGTGTCGGTTTGTCGGTGTGTGCGTCGTTCTGTCCGTCCGGACCAACCGCTCACAAAACCAGGGAGTACGAAGGCTACTTCGTGATGTTGATGTCATGATCATGATAACACCCACAGCGGCTATATAAACACCGATCGAGCACACTCAGTCTCATTCTACATGGTGCTGCCGTGGCAGCCGGATGAGCGGGGGGGGAGGGGAGGGGGAAGAAAGAGGAGTCGAGGGAGTGAGTGAGAGGGAGTGAAGGTTGGGAAGAGGAGGAAGGAGGGAGGACATGGTGTGGCGTGGGGGTAGAAGAGAGGTTAGAAGAAGGGGGTCGGAGAGGATGCAATGAGGGAGAACAACCGCTTTCAAGAAGAACGGCTATATCTGTGTTGACGTATTACTCTAACGTGATGTTGTGATTCTGAACACCCCACAACGGCTATAAACACCGATCGAGCACGCTCAGTATCAATCTATTATACACAAGTGGAAGGACCACAGCGGAAGACGTGGAGCTTACGCAGGAAAGCAACGTCTCGGCGGTTGACGGGGAAGCAATCTGGTGTTTTGTTTAAATGTGAATGCGTTTGAGAGAAAAAGCAAAAACAGGTGAATTTTCCAAAATTAGTGTCCCGAAATAGTTGGACTAGTGCTATGATAATTGTCAAAACTGACAGCAATAGGAACTGTTGCAACCTTGCAACATTCTAACTGCTTTCAGTGGTTTCGTCCGCTTCGTAGTACTCAAGGCAAGTTGTGAGATGTGCGTGCGGTACCGCTCTCCAATCCCTAGATGGTGTTCTTCATCGTCAAATCTTGCACAGTAGGTTAACATTTAGGACGAGGATGTCCTAAAGGTTCTTGGATGAAGTTAGGTTAGTCAGACGAGCACTTGTAAAATTTCTTTTTCTGGAAGTCGGAGAAGCACCTCTTTGTTGAAGCACTGCGTGGAGATAACATTATCTCGCTGAAATTTGAAGCGCGCGAATGAAATTCGATACTTTTTTGCAGAGCCGCTTACAAGGACGCTCTTGTAGGCACCGAATTTTATGAGATGTGTGATAATACACGTTCCGACTAAGGGAGCTGGAGAAGGCAAGCTCAGTCATAGAGTTCGTTTCTCTATGATTGAGATGCCTTTTTCCTTTGTTAGTACGATTTGAGGAAGCGTGGATTCTCCTTCAAATTGTGCTAAAAATCTGTTACGGTTTCAGAATCTTTTGGAATAGACTTCTATCGGGAAGGTAAAAAGACTATACTCTCTGCAGCGTTCTGTATTACGTGAATGGAACAAGTAAGTAAGTCAACTAAGCACGTTGACGCGTTTACCCAATGTAGCCATTGGCAAAAAGAACTCGGGGCTAATTGTGTGAACATGGTACATATGGAGTGATCAAAAGCTCTCTTCGCATAGTGTAGGGGGAATATTTGAGCGCATAGCGGAAAGATCTTCTAGACGCAGTAAGTGAAAGGTCCTTGCACACCTTCACAGTCGATCGCAACATTATGAATTCGATTCGTGTACCAGACTAAGACTTTCTCAGTAGTGTGGCTCGCCTATTCATGCCTTAGGATTCCATAGTGCGGCAGAAGTTCTTGATTGAACTGAGAGATAAATATACTTTTTCTTAAGATGCTGCGGTTACTGACTGCCACAATCTTGTAAACCCTAATTCGCCCTATTTTACTCCAGTGATTGTTTCCTTGTGAATATTGTGTGTACGTGGCATGATACTGCAGAACATTTGAGAAAGAGAAAGCAATCGAAAGTCGTCGCTAGAACTTGTCTCAATAGGAACACAAGGCTAAAGAACCATGCAAACCAATACATTTGAGCGCTATGTTTTTGGAAAACTCAGATAGGAGTCTTAGTTTCTTTCACTTTTAAGTGTACTCAGACTGTATCCCAAGTGATCGCGGTAAAAAATTGGAGCAAAATGATTAAATTTACCGAGGTGTCAAAGAATAATGGAGTCAGCCTATACTCTCACAACACACTGTTCTTTTTTTTCCTCAAGACGATACTAGGGCAAGTCTCCCATGCTTTCAGAGCCATTTGATTGGTTCTATTCTCATCGGTGACACTGACTTCTTCCCTGCTAGTTCCCCCACACAGAACCCGAAATAGAGACTGTCTCGAAATTTGTTTATGACGAGAAAAGTTTTGCAATGTTAACTCACCGCACCTGGTTGCCTTTTGTTGGTAGGCATATCACTATAGCTCTTCCTAGAGATAAGAAAACTGCGGAATAAAATGTCATATAGAGTGAATGAAACGACACCACGTAGATCACGGTAATGTAGGGACCCACAGGTAATGTGGTCATCCAGCCGGTGATAAGTCCCGAGAGAGGAATTCGTACAGCAAGGACATCCAAAAGGAAGAACATGACATTCTGCAAGGCTAAATGTTTTTGAAAAGTGCTGATTGCATAGAATTATGAGCACAAGCAAACGGTCTAAAATCTGACCAGTATCTAGTGTTGTCCAACTCAGGGTTGCCAAATTTCAAGGTATTGATTTACACTCACCGTAATGCAGTCATGTGTGAATAAGACGAAGAACGGTGTTCTGAAGAATTCCTTGTTTCTAGGATCTAATATACCGCAAACAATTTTCACTGTTACAGCCAAACTAGGAATGCCATAAAAAATGTACACGATTAGGAAATAGGTATGTTGAGTTATGACCACTTGGAAAGAGTCGCGAATTGTGTCATTTCCGTGGACGCTTCCGAGCAGTGATACTTCCATGAGTAGGCCTTAAACAAGCTTTTCGCGATGGCGAACGAGGGTTTATACAAAGTAAATAACAAGTGGCAGGTGAAATACTCACATGGAAAAGTGTACTACCAATGGCTAGCGCTTGTAGATTTTGTTCAGGTGAAATAACTGAAAAGAATATGAGAGAAGAAACTCCTTGTTTTAAATAGTGAAAAGTTAGTCAACGTTCCGCTCTAGAAGCCAATTAGAAATCACCGTTTTCACTGACAGCAAATTGGGTGAGGATGGAACGTGATGTCAATAGAATCAGATGAAACTGTGGTGCATGACGATAAGCTAGTTTAGGAGCGCATGCATTCGCATGCATCACAAGGGACTGCAATGGTATGAAGGAGGGCCATTGATAATTTTATAGTTCACCGTGGGAAACTCCGCAAATCCTCGGTGGCGCCCACGCATTTGGCCCCATTCCTTCGCCAACCTTTATCCACTTTTCCCAGCCTCTGGCTCTCTTCTACCCTCCTGTAATATCACGTGACAAATCGCCTACTTCAGCGCTCGCTCCACCCACCAACAGCAGTTGACTTGCCTTTCGTTGACGGACTCGACCCGCTTTTTCCCGGTCTGCAGGACTCCTTGTTATTTTATTTTATTATGAGGACTTGCAGTAAACGCTGCCTACTTCAGAACACGCCACGCCCACTGTGGGCGGGGCTCCGCTTAGGTAATGTATGTTTTTTACTTCTCGAGATATGGTACACCCATCCCAAACTTGACCTGGACCCAGTAGGTTGTTGTCCGCTTAATATCGTGGCAGACAGACAGACAGACAGACACACAGACAGACAGACCTAGCGTATTATTCATACATACAGTGCGTTTCATAACTATAAGGTCACCCTAAAATATTGCATTTCCGGGACCAGCAGCCAACTGGTGATTTTTCCACTATCACCAAATGATTCCCCACTACGAATAACCCCTGTATCGCAATTTTGGTGGGAGCAGCTTTTTCTTCGAACTTTTTTGTAATTATTTTTCGATTTTTGCACCGTTTCATAATATAAGGTCACCCTGAGGAAAAGAACAATTACCTAAGATTAATGACAGATAAAATAGACATAATAATGTATGGTTCCTCCTTTATCAAGGGCAACATTGAATAGTCTCCGTGGCCTACCGGAATTGAGATTCCAAGGCAGATCACCATCGATTCACTTCCGTGTTCAAGGGTTGCTTGTACACGCTCTTGTGTAATTTTTAACTGGCGTTTATCCGCACTATTACTCATGACGAAGATGCCCCTGAGATGTTCTACTAGAACACGACTAGAAATTCAGAAAAATTTGTTCAGTTCATCAGGGTTTCGAGAGAAATGCTGCTTCTGGTTGAATGACCTACATGGGTACCTGTACTGTTCTGTATGACCACGTAGGCTAGCCGACTTCATCAGCTCAAGGAAGAGGTCAAATGTCCTCGCAAGGCTCTATGCTAATCTTTGGAGTCCATTATGCAGTTTATGGAAGCGAAATTTTGACACAACATCATCACAAAAAGCACCCACACCTTTCACATTCCTTAACTAAAATTGCAAGCGCTGAAGTGAATCGGCCACCTTCGCAAGTCACTTCAAAAGTGTTTATATTCGCAGGATCTGTTTGTATAAACCAGTTTTGTCCAAAAAATACCAACTTTACTGGAATTATCTTGCTATATGGTGCGACTGTGGAGCAGACTCAACCTTGTTCAAACTCTCTTCAAGTTCAACTTTACGGGTTGAAGTTGTGCCACTTTGCAATGGCCACTGAGCCTTCGGACCATCTTTGTTGCTTTCCTGGTAATGTTGTTGCATAATTTCACCGCACTCCAGTTCATATTTTTCAAGATAGAAACCTTAAATCAGGCACGACGCCGATTTGAAGCGGAAATACTGCACGGGACAGCCCTCATAACTCTTCTCTAATCATTTATAGAAACCATTTTGTGGACATTCTGGTATTGTAGTATATCTGGATACGTAGGAGCTTCTCAATTAGGCTGCTTTCATAGTTCGCATCGGTGCGGTCGGTGCCGACGGCGCCCGCCGACCGCACCGACAGTGTGAAGAGCGTCAATACGCGCTCTGGCGCATGACGCGTGCGCTGGGCGCAGATGGGGCGCTCCGGTCGATAATCTTGGTTTTGGTGTATTTCTTGTATTTTTTCGATGTTTTTTGCACTCACTTCATATGAATAAACAAAATTGCTTACGACCAACACACCCGGTATGGCCACATCCACCCGGAGTTGTGCGACGGGTTCACGACGTCGCTCGCCCGCGGAACAACTGGAAAGTATTAATCAAGACATAAAAGGGCGCAATGTGGCTCGGAGGGGGGGGGGGCAGCCGCCGCGCGGGGCGTTGCGGCAACAGGAAATTCGCAAGCCAGGGGGAGTGTAGCCAATTCAGGGGGGGGGGTGAGGGCAGTCACTTAGCATGCGTGAGAAGCTGAAATGTCCCGTGAAAAGCTGGAATGTTCGAGTTACACTACATCGCTGAGCCGCGCACCGACTTCCCCCCCCCCCGAGCCACATTGCGCCCATAAAAGAATAAGTATGAACAGGAAACACACGAATTAAAGCAACACGCGCGAAAAAAAACATCGAAAAGCACAAGAAATACACCAAAACCAGGATTATCGATCGGAGCACGCGATCTGCGCCCAACGTTCGCGTCATGCGCCAGAGTGCGTATTGACGCTCTTCACACTGTCGGTGCGGTCGGCGCCGTCGGCGCCGTCGGCACCGACCGCACCGATGCGAACTATGAAAGCAGCCTTATCCGAGAGCAGTGCTAATGACTGTCCGAAGTTCTTTGGAAAGACTCGCGAACCGTGCCAAGCACCATGAAATGCATAAACTTTACCTTTTCTTCAAAAGGCGAGTACGAAACATTCCATAAATTTAGCTACTGGGTGTGTTTGTAACAAACATTCAATTTCACAGGCAGGTTGGTTGTTTCCGATAATGTAGTATTCATTTTCACAGGGTGACCTTATATTATGAAACGGTGCAAAAATCGAAAAATAATTACAAAAAAGTTCGAAGAAAAGCTGCTCCACCAAAATTGCGATACAGGGGTTATTCGTAGTGGGGAATCATTTGGTGATAGTGGAAAAATCACCAGTTGGCTGCTGGTCCCGGAAATGCAATATTTTAGGGTGACCTTAGAGTTATGAAACGCACTGTAGTATGGGTGTTTTCCTATCACTCACAGTTTACTGATCCTTATTTGTCATGCGGTCCAGTTCAATCTAGAGTCAAGAGGAAATTTCCACGAACAGGAGCGGGTCAATGAAGCAGGAAAAGGAGGAGGGTATTACACAGCGAGAACTTATGTAGCTTCAGTGGTCCCCTTCATTACAGCAAGATTCAAAAACAACTAGGATGACTTCACACAAGGAAGAATCATCGGAACTGGGTAGAGGAGGATGCGTTACGAGCCCAGTTCACGAGCTCAGTATTGCTGTAGTGCATGGGGAGTGATATGCACCACAACTAACACACAAGCCCGCTATTTTCGAACAGTGTCACGTGTAGTGGACCCTTTTTGAAAGTGACGGGACCTGACAGTCCCACGGGCTTCCTTTGAACGTTGGGTCCCGCCACTATTGAGTCGCTGGTACATAGTTCGACTCGCTGGTGCAACGTTCGATTCGCTGGCCCAACGCTCGGTGACGTCGGAATTGCACTTCATGCGATTTTCTCCCAAATGAAAGCGCTAGATCAACTGTGAGTGTTGAGCTGGGATGTAAGAGCTTCCTTGATTGCAGTGCAGATTTAGACGACATCGAATGTCAAAATAAAGTTTTGTAGGAATTTATGAAAACGAATGGCTGGTGAACCTTTGATAGCCTTCCACCCACCCTCACTACGGGATATATTCTAGGGGATAGAAGAGATCTAGGAAGGAATTGAAATTTTGCTCAGAGTTTTTCTTAGTAAATGTCATGCAGAAGTACTTTCGTCCATAAATTTTGCACATACTTGTAGGTCTCTACCTCTACGTCTCTCCGAAAGGAACAATTAGTAACATCCACTATACCTAACCTCTACTTAACTTTCCACTTTTGAACCCTCCGAGAACTCTTTTTTAGAATCCCTTTTTTCCGACCGCTCACTACACCTTTGTGTGTTTTTTGGAACAAATTGTTCTCCCTGAAACTTCGAAAAGCTTATACGTCCACTACACTTTCGCTAGGAACGTGGCGCCCCAGGAGCTAACCGTAAAGAGAATAAAAATGGCGATTTTGCAAGACGAGAAAGACTTCCTCGTAGAAATAATCCAGCACCACAAAAAT